AAGGTTATTATGGGGAACTCAGACATTTCTTTAAGGAATTTGACTGTAAGGACTTGCTGTTAGGACATGAAGTAAATGAGATGTATGTCAAGTTTTGTGAAATATATGATAAAGGCACAAAAAAATTTATACCAAAGCAGAGATGCAGAACTAGGAAACAGGACTGGTTCGACAGAAATTGCGAGAGCGTCAGAGACCAAAAGAGACAAAAGTGAAATCAATATAGGAAGAGGCCAAACCCCCCAAAAATACCAGCGATGCAAAGATGCGAGAAACAACTACACGGCAGTGGGGAGAGAGGCAGAAAGAAATTTTGAAAAAGGGATTGCGGACAAATGTAAAACAGAACCAGGTCTATTCTATAAATTCATAAACAACAAAGTGCAGGTAAAGGATAATATTCAAAGGTTGAAAATGGGAAATAGATTCACGGAAAATGAAAAGGCAATGTGCGAAACATTAAACGAAAAATTCCAAAGTGTGTTTATACAAAATGAAATCTTCAGGGAACCAGACACAATAAGAATTCAAGAGAACAACATAGAGCACAGAGGTATCTAGAGACAAAGTGGAAAAAATGTTCAAGGAGCTAAGTAAGAATAAAGCAGCTAGTCCGGATGGAGTTTCACCATGGGTTTTGAGAAAATGTGCACCCGAGCTCAGCTGATTTTTCAGGCATCCCTGTGTACAGGAGTTGTAGCTCGTGTGTGGAAAAAGTCTAACATAGTTACAATCTACAAAAGTGGCAGCAGGGAAGACCCCCTCAATTATAGGCCTGTATCATTGACCAAGTGTAATAGTCAAAATATTGGAAAAAATAATTAAAACTAAATGGGTAGAACATCTGGAGAAAAATGATATAATGTCAGACACACAGTATGGTTTTCGATCTGGAAGATCCTGTGTAACGAATTTACTCGGTTTCTACGATCGAGCCACAGAGATTTTACAAGAAAAATGGTTGGGTGGACTGCATCCATCTGGACCTAAAAAAGGCTTTTGACAGAGTTCCACATAAAAGGTTGTTCTGGAAACTAGAACATTTTGGAGGGGTGACAGGTAAGCTTCTAACATGGATGAAAACTTTCCTAACTGAGAGAAAAATGAGGGCCGTAATCAGACAATGTATCGGATTGGAGGAATGTCGCAAGTGGAATACCACAGGGTTCAGTTCTTGCACCAATAATGTTCATTGTCTACATAAACGATCTACCAGATGGAATACAGAATTATATGAACATGTTTGCTAATGATACTAAGATAATAGGGAAGATAAGAAACCTAGATGATTGTCATGCCCTTCAAGAAGACCTTGACAAAATCAGTATACTGTATGGAGCACCACTTGGCAAATGGAATTTAATGTGAATAAATGCCATGTTATGCAATGTGGAATTGGAGAACATAGACCCCACACAACCTATAAATTATGCGAGAAATCTTTCAAGAATTTTGACAAAGAAAGGGATCTAGGGGCGGTTCTAGATAGAAAACTGTCACCTGAGGACCACATTAAAACCATTGTGTGAGGAGCCTATGCTACACTTTCTAACTTCAGAATTGCTTTTAAATACATGGATGGAGAAATACTAAAGAAATTGTTCACGACTTTTGTTAGACCACAGCTGGAATATGCAGCAGTTGTATGGTGCCCATATCTTAAGAAGCAAATTAATTAACAAACTGGAAAAGGTGCAAAGACATGCAACTAAGTGGCTCCCAGAACTGAAGGACAAGAGCTACGAGGAGAGGTTAGAGGCATTAAATATGCAAAAACTAGAAGATAGAAGAAAAAGAGGTGATATGATCACTACGTACAAAATAGTAACAGGAATCGATAAAATTGATAGGGAAGAATTCCTGAGACCAGGAACTTCAAGAACAAGGTTCTTTAGATTTAAACTAACGAAACAAAGCTGCCGGAGAAATATAAGAAAATTCACTTTTGAAAACAGAGTGGTAGATGGTTAGTTAGGCGAGAGGGTGGTGGAAGCAAAAACTGTCAGTAATTTGAAAGTGTTATATGACAGAGTGCTGGGAAGACGGGACACCCCGAGCGTAGCTCTCATCCTGTTACTACACTTAGGTACTGTAATTACAAGTTGACTGACAGTTGAGAGGCGGGACCAAAGAACCAGACCTCAACCCCCGCAAGCACAACTAGGCGAGTACACACACACACACACACACACCTCGAGGCGGGACCAAAGAGCCAAAGCTCAACCCCCGCAAGCACAATTAGGTGAGTACACACACACACACACACACACACACACACACTTTCTCTAGTTTGCTTTTTGTTATTCTCTTAAAACGAATGTTTTTAAAACCAGTGCTGCGTGAAATGAAATGCCTTTTTCTAGTTGTTTTTTTGAGGCTGCCTTGTGTTAGCAACCCGATAACATCAATTCATGCCAGGCCTACTAGTCATTGTAAGCCTACTGGGAAGCAGAAGTAAAAACCTGGCCTCCACCCGCTCTAAAGAGGAACAGGGAGCTAAAGGGGAAAGGCGAGTGAGAATACAGATAATCAGCAAAGTAAGGAAAACAAATGTAGAAAACAAGGTAGGTTCTGGGTGTTCTATTCCTCAAGCCCAGCCCAGGGTCATGCTCTACTTGTGTAAGCTTGGTCCAACAGGCTGTTGCTTGGAGCGGCCCGCAGGGCCACATATCCACTACAACTTGGTTGTCTGGCACTTCTTGCTTCTTTTTAAGATTTCCACTTTTGTTTTGGTAATATTTCTTATACTTGCTGGGAGGATACTGAACAACCATGAACTTGTGATGTACATAAAGTGTTCTCTGATTGTGCCTATGGCATCTCTACTCTGCCTAGAGCCCATCCCTATGGCACTGCCTCTATTCTGCACTTCCTTCCACATCTGTTGCTCTAGTATGTTATTTTACTGTGCAAATTTGAGACCTGGACTTTCAGTATCTTCCATGTATATGTTATTTGGTACCTCTCATTTCCTTTTCAGCGAGTATATTTTGAAAGCTTTGAGTGGATCCTAATATGTAGTTTAGGCACTTTATCGTGTCAATGTGTGCCATGCATGTTCTCTGTATATTCTCTATTCCAGCAATCTCTCCTACTCTGAACGGAGAAACGAGTATGAAGCAATATTCGAGGTGGGACAGAACAAGCAATCTGAACAGTACGAGCATTGTGATGGGAGCTCTGGATTTGTTTTGTTATATATAATTTCCAATCTCTTAACCATTTTTCACAGCTAATTTGCCCCTCACACTATAGTACTTACTTCTTCAGTCACTTCAACATCTGTACTTATGTTCTGATGGAAATTGATTACAATTGATTAAGTCCAAATTAAACTTTACAACAATTGCAGTTTATAGCCATAAATATATATACAAATTTTTCCAATTACTGTATTTGTGTTTGCTCTTACCTATAAATATCATCTTGAGAGCCACTGACATCAACACCGGAAAGTTTGCATATAATCGATCAGTATAATCCAAGATATTGTAAAATTATCCTCCCAATAGCTTCAATCAAAACTGATTTAAAAGACTACACATACAGACTATCAAGAACAAAATGCTCCAAAATTCAGAAAAGTTCCACTAAAATACAGTGGAACATCGGTCTATGAATTTAGTCCACTTTAGCACTCATAATTTCCTTTTTCTTAGCAATTAAGGTGCAAATTGTTGACATGGATTTGTTGTACTGACTAGCTAGATCAACAGCCCGCATACCATTTTCATGTTTACGAATGATCTCTTGTTTTTCCTCTATCGTCATCCTCACAACTATTTTCTTTGGTTGAACTTTACAACTGACTTTCTTGGGACCCATGGCATGATATATAATAAGAACTTATGTTCAGAAACAAAAAAAACCAGCGTTGAATGTAATGAAATCCCATTTTCTGGGTAAACCTCAGAGGCTCCCTAAAGCTATAGCACTGATATTAGCTATATTAGTCTAGGGATTCAGTCATATGGAGTTGTCATGCCTACTGGGAACCACGACCAGAACCTGGTCATCTCAGAGAGGCGAAGGGAGCAATGGCCTATGAAAACTCTACTCTCTGAGAGCACAGGTAAATCCATGTCTGCCATCGACTGGGGCTGGGCACCCAGAAAGGTAGGCACCCCAGAACAGACCCCAACTGGTAGAAAATTACAACCGGAGACCGAAACAGAGGCTAAAAACTCCAAAGAAAAATAAGAAACAAGCAAATTGTCATTGCCCCCCCCCCCCATTCCCCAGGAAGGGGGAGGTCCCATTTCACCGAGCCGGCCGTTTGCCCACCAGTTTGTCAACTGAAGCCAACTGAGGCGGACGTCCACTCTGGTCTCTATAGCCTGTCAGGATTTTGGCCCTAGTGGTGGTACCTGCTGTGTGTTGGAGCATTGGCCAGGTGTTACAAGTACTGTTCTTTTAATTCCTGGCCAATGCTCCAGAACACAGCAATTACAATTTACTTCAATTACCTCCCTCGACACTGGCTGAATTTCCCCCACCCTCATTCTCTGTACATCACTTTTCCACTTTTATTCAATTTGGATCTATTATTTTTGTAGCATGCATTTTAACTAATTATTGTATACTGTACTTTAACTATATATTTGCAAATTCACTTCAACACATCTACCCTCTCTTATTAGTACTACTAGATACCTAACTTCCCCATTAAATTGTACATCTTAAATGTATAGGCTACATCAAGTGATTTTGCATGACCTAATTAAAAACTACTTCCCATAAATATTTTCAGAAACACATGACACAAACTCACAGATCATTCTTTAAACAAAATGCCATACTTATACTGCAAATACATTACTTACATACACATACATACCAACTATTCAACAACATATATCTACACATAATGGCTAATCTTTTGCCATATATTTAAAAGGTAGCTGTATCTACAGACAAATTATTAGTCATTTCACTGATTGACCAAACTAACTACCTGGCCAGCAAAGCAAGATTTTGTGACCAAGTGCTCTCTCACTCACTTGACTGAGCTTGCGTGACAGGTCATTGGTAAGACACTCTTCCTCCTGTTCATAATTCAATGCCAAAGTCTCCTTCTCCTTCTTCAATGCCTGGATCTTCTTCAGAAGTGTATTGCTGATAAACTCTTCCTCTTGCTCTGCTCTGGCTTGCTGTGGAGAAACATGGCTAATCAACAGACAGATAATAAACTATTTAAATTGCATCAGATCAACAAAAGGTACTGTATGTGTATATCCAAGCTGTCTAACTTAAAGATAGAAAAAAATTATTCTTGCTAAAAATAAAAACCTCAATGGCATTTTGTCTAAATTTCCTAGGGCATCATTTGCAACCAAGACTACTGTTATTATCCCATGTCATCTGGTAATACATGAACACTTTGGAACCAAACACATAACCACACTATAAACTTAGCAAGACTGAACAATTTCATCGCATATTTGCCATATTAGTAATTACCAAAGTAGTTGTAGGACGAGAGCTACACTCGTGGTGTCCCATTTTCCCAGTACTCTTTGTTGTATAACGGCTTTGAAACTACTGATGGTTTTGGCCTTCACCACCTTTTCACTTAGCTTGTTTCAACCACCTACCACTCTGTTTGCAAAAGAAAACTTTCTAATGTTTTTTTGGCACCTTTGTTTCCTTAGCTTGAATCTGTGTCCTCTTGTTCATGATGTTGCTGGTTTCAGGAATTCCTCTGTCAGTTTGGTCTATTCCTGTTAGTATTTTATAAGGGGGTGATCATATCACCTCTTTCTTCTATCTTCTAGTTTTGGCATGTTTAACGCCTCTAGTCTCTCCGCGTAACTTGTTTTTTTCAGTTCCGGAAGCCATTTTGTACCATGCCTTTGCACCTTTACCAGCTTCTTTATGTACTTCTTGAGATTTAGGCACCATACAACTGCTGCATATTCAAATTTTGGTCTCTCAAATGTCATGAACAGTTTTAGTACAGTAGAACCTCGAGTGACGATCGCCTCAATTGGCGAGCAGTCTGGGTAACGAGTGCCCAGATCGGCAACAATTCATCTTGTATGGCGAGCGCTCGTTTGAATAACGACAACACCACATGGTGGGGTCGCGCTGCTTCTCGCACATTCTCGGACGCCTCCGACAATGCAAATAATTTTTTTTTTAAAGATGCTAATGATGCTGGGATATAAATGGGTGACTGCTGTGATGTTGCAAAGCATCGACTGTTTTGTAGAAAAAAAATTACATTTTTTGAGAAACAACAAATGGCAAAAAGGTTCGTTCAGTGTTTGTCGGGTAGGCTGTAAAGGAACCTTTTGCTATAAAACAAATTAAAAAAATATTGAACAAATTTGAAGAAAGAAAAATGTCAAAGGTTTGTTCAGAGGATGTAAGATAGGCTGCTCCATTATTTAAAACATCGAATATCATATTGTTGTTTTTCGGTAGTAGAACGGATTAATTTGATTTCCATTATTGTCAATGGGGAAATTCGTTTTGTATGATGCCTTTCACATGACGATCACGGCACCAGAACGGATTAAATTCGTTATTCGAGGTTCCACTGTATTTCACCATCCATATAATTAAAAGCAAGTCTGAAGTTGGAAAGCGATGCATACGCTCCTCTCACACTGTTCTTTGTATGTTCCTCTGGCGACAGCTTACTATCCAAAACCACCCCTAAGTTTCGTTCTTTATTAGAGTTCTGTAAATTCCTTTCCACATAATTTTAAGTTGTGTGGGGTCTATTTTCCACAGTTGTACATTCTCGCAGCACCCAAGATGTAACTCCATCAGGTCCAACTGCTTTATTTCTTCCTAGCTCCTTGAGTAATTTTTCAACTTCATCTTGGGGAAACTATGTATTCTATGGTGTGCTCTGGAATTGGCATTAAGTCTAGCTCTCTGAAATCCTTATTTTGTACAAACATATTTTGGAACTGTTCACTTTGTGTTTCACACAATTCTTTTTCATTCTCAGTAGTCCTGTTCTCCAATTACTGATCAGGTACATCATCATTGCAGTAATTATGAAGACGATGGTTAGCAATACAATTTAAGGATCCAGCATTTGAAATCAGATGCCACACTAAAGTGTCGTTAGAACACACGGTTAAAAATATACAAACTCTTTTAGATTCATTCAAGTGCAAAAGTATTAATCAATGAAGATACAGACAACACGGCAATATGAGGTTGCCGTATTGTGAAATGCCAAACCCCAAAGCTAAACAAGGTAGAGGAACTCAGCTGGGTTTACACTTCAAACATACATAACTACAGTACTCTGAACATCAAATAAAGAAGCTCAATCAGCAGAAACTAGTGTCAATTTTTATACCGGTCATGTCCAAAAATGGAAAAATTTGAATTTGTGTTTCTATGTGACAAAAACCTTGGTAATCCAAATCCTAATTTTGAGTTAAAAGGGTCAAAAACTGTAATGTGAAAGCAATCAGATTACTGTATTAGGTGATTTGGATTACCAGGATCCAAATTACTGTACAGAGCTCTTACAGTACCCATTTACTACATGTATTCGGTAAACAGAGGTACAGTATCGGGTAAAAGGAAATGTTGCCTAAATGCCGTGGAAATTAAACCCGGAACCTATTGTTTATAACCCAACTGTGCTTACAACTGCAAGTGGCGAGTTCATTGTTGCAACCCGTTCTCGCAAATTTAATAAGTCAATATTGACTTATTAAATATGTGCATAGGTGACATACTTAACATAATAGTTTCCCTTGAAAAGCTTCATAGAAAACACCGACCTTACCTAACCTACTTAGTATGTTAAGATAAGCATCTTATTGCTTCGTAATTACAATTATTACCTAACCTATACCTATAATAGGTTAAGTAACACTTGTAATTACGAAGCTATAAGATGAAGCTTTTCTATGAAGCTTTTCAAGGGAAACTATTATGTTTAGTATGTCACCTATGCACGCAACTAATAAGTCAATATTGACTTATTAAATTTGCGAGAACGGGTTGCATTATCCATAACCAAGACAAGCCATTTCTGAGCCCCATCAGTACAGAACGAAACACACGGAGGAAAGAAAGAAAGAAGGAAAACAAAAATCAGGAATACTATACATGAAGACCTGAATATAAATATGCAAAAATCATGAAAGCTAAGCTAATATAAACCCTGCACATTAGAAACAAAATTTTGGAAGTGAAAACCACGTAAAATTTTTACCAAAATTGATTCCCAGCTGCGCACAAAATGACTATCAGGAAGCATGCATGGGGTCTCAACCTGTGGTGGACCTGGTGCTGCCACCTGGTTGCAGTCAGCCGAGGTAGCCAAGCAGAGCAAGTGATGATTACTAGAGTGCTCCCTTGCCAGTAACCTGTCTTATCCATAGGTAGATATAGGCATACTATTTTTTAATGATTGAGCCATCATTGGTAATTTGGCACTAAAGTATCATTAGTGGACTCTTGTACACCTTACATGATCCTGCAGGGTCACTTTCTAAACTTTCTGTGGCACTGATGTCTTTACCCAACAATTTTTCCTTGCTCAAACAAGACCTCACTTAAGATTATGCTGTGCAGTTTTGGCCAGCATGCTTTACAGAATGGACAAATTCTCTGGAAGACACACAGAGAATCGAGTTAATCCCCAGTACAAACTACACAACTAAACTTACTTTGGGGAGAACTATACTGTAGTAGAAAATAACACTACTGCACAGATTTTATGTTGTACAAAAATATTGTCTAATATTGCCAATAAAGTGTTTCATGCAATGAAATGCCTTTCCTGATGGGACTCTAGTTGCTCCTCAAGCTTAGCTCTGGTGCCAAGCATTAGTCAATTGTATCAGGCCTCCAAAACATATCCTTGCCTGTCAGGAGCCGGGACACAAACCTGGCTTGCTTCTGGTGTTGTCAGAAAGCAGATGGGAAAAAACAAAAACCAGTTGCTTGTAGAAGCAGTTGCTTGCTTGTAAAGGCCAGTAGGCCTGCCAATCTACCCTACATGCCAAACACGGAAATGGAGAGAACATGGTAGAGGTGGGAAGCTCCTGGAGGAACCCACCAGAAAAGTGAGTTTCATTACATTCAATGCTCAATTTCCAGAAAAAAACCTCAGTTGCTCCCAGAGCTGTCCTGCTGGAGAATCTGTGTTTAAAATATAATTATTTAATAGAAAAAGAGCAATGAGCCAACTCATGCAAGAAGAATAGCCAAAGAGGAGGACCCCAGTGCTAAAGAACATCAGCAATGCACCAAATATTCAATTGTTACAAATGCAACACGGGCAACGAACAAGAATGTTAGAAACAGGGTTGTAAAACAATGTCTTCACATGCAAGAAGGAAAAAAATTGCACCATTGGCTCAGGACAGTGAATAATGCAACCTCTGCTAGATAAACCTAGTGTCAATGACCAAAAGAAACTTTTAAGGAAAAAAAACACACACACACACACACCAACCCGAGTGTAAATTGAACCAATGATCAAATACCGAGAAGCCAAAAGTGAGACCAATCTCCAATCTAGCACTACAGGAAAAGGCAGACCAAGGGAGAGGAAGGTCATTCTGGTATCCATGACTAGTGCCAGTCAAAAGAGAACCAGAGACAGTGCCAAGTGTAATAGTCAAAATATTGGAAAAAATAATTAAAATTAAATGGGTAGAACACCTGGAGAGAAATGATATAATATCAGACAGACAGTATGGTTTTCGATCTGGAAGATCCTGTGTATCGAATTTACTCAGTTTCTATGATCGAGCAACAGAGATATTACAGGAAAGAGATGGTTGGGTTGACTGCATCTATCTGGACCTAAAAAAGGCTTTCGACAGAGTTCCACATAAGAGGTTGTTCTGGAAACTGGAAAATATTGGAGGGGTGACAGGTAAGCTTCTAACATGGATGAAAAATTTTCTGACTGATAGAAAAATGAGGGCAGTGATCAGAGGCAATGTATCGGACTGGAGAAATGTCACAAGTGGAGTACAGTACCACAGGGTTCAGTTCTTGCACCAGTGATGTTTACTGTCTACATAAATGATCTACCAGTTGGTATACAGAATTATATGAACATGTTTGCTGATGATGCTAAGATAATAGGAAGGATAAGAAACTTAGATGATTGTCATGCCCTTCAAGATGACCTGGACAAAATAAGTATAGGGAGCAC